TTGAGCACATCTTACACTGTAACCTAGGACAGTTTGTTGTCAGTAAAAACATGTCCTCACCTGGTTAAGTGAAAGACTGGGGTTTTTTTAAGAAATATATTTGTTGAGTTTGGTAAACTCTTTAATGTGATTGTAGACTCATGCTCTAGTGAAAGATGCTGGTTTTGGTATTGTTTGTCTGTAATTGTCTCTAAGCACCTGAAATTTAAAAAAAAAAAAAACAAAAAACAAAAAGCTGCAATGCTGTAATACCTGAGGATGCAGTAACTCGAAAAAGATGTTTCCTCTAATCAAAGGAAGTCTGTGGGGCTAGATCCTGGTGTATTCATTGTGGTCATTCCTCCTTGTATTACACTACATTATTTTTCTTTTTATCATAAGCCCATTGGGAGAAACCCTTCAGTACTTCATATACAAAACAGGAGGATTTTTTTGTGGATAAGAAAACATCTGTAAAAGTTGACATGATGTATCGAAAGGGTTACTACAGAAATTACTTTGATGAAGAGCTGTCCTGTTGGCTGGTTCAGATACCTTACAATGGAAACGCTGCAGCATTATTTGTTTTGCCTGATGAAGGAAAGATGAAGCAGGTGGAAGATGCTCTCTTGAAAAGGACTGTATCTAAATGGGAAAAGTTGCTCCAAGAAAGGTAAGTGTTTTTGCTAAGGTGAGAAGAGACCACGTTATATAATAGCAGTGTTTATCTCACCAAGATAAAACATTAAAGGACACGTTGTTTTACTGAATTCTGTTCACTTAATGGTACCTCTCTGTGCAGGACTTCCCTTTTCTTAGTTGGAAAATAAAGTGCTGTGGGTAGTGAACAAATAGGGCATTGAACTTGGGATCTATCTTGGGCTAAGTTCCTGGCTCAACCACAAGTTGCTTAGCACCATGATGAAGATAACAGACCCTTGTTTCATATGGGCATTGTGAAACTACAATGGAGTAGCTATTGAGTGTGAGGGTGTTGAGGGCATTTTTTATAAAAGCAGAAATTTTATTCATTCACCATTACTTTGGCTATTTCTGTGGTGGCCCAGACCCTCTTGTATATTCAAACAGACTTAGGACAGCTAGCTATGATCTTTTGAAAAAAACCTGCTACCTGGATCTAGTATCTCTGCTTGTCACAGGGTTGGTATAGTTGTGTCTTCCACCCCATTCCTTGAACCCCACTGTGGAGGCAGAGGATAACATGGGTCATGCTGCTCCAACCCTCCATGTTAGGTAGCTAAGCGGGTCAGAAATGTTATTTCAACCCTGAAAGCAGACTTTTAACATTTAGAAAAACAAATGTGGCAAGTCACTTTACAGAAGCCATTGAGGAGTGTTACCTAGATGACAATTTGTCCCTATCTGTGTTGTTACAGAAAGATACATCTGCACATCCCCAAATTTTCTATTTCTGGTACCTATGATGTGAAAAGGATAGTCAAAGAAGTGGGTATGATTGATCTATTCACTGAACAAGCTGATCTGTCAGGGATTACTGAGGAGCCTGGACTGATGGTTTCAAAAGTAAGTCGGCATGTGAAACACAGCAACCATAGGATTTGTCTGATCCCAGGAACCTGACATTAATATCCCATGAAAAGCTTATCCCAGTTTCTCTGAAGCATCACTCAATCATCAACAGCTGCCAGTCTGGAGGCAAAGCAAGACCTGTCTTTCCTAAACTTGAAGCCAAACATGCTTACAAGGAGTTATACATATATGACTCAAGGATGAGGAAGAAGACATACACATATAATCAAATGTTCTTTTGGATACTAAACAAATTACCTAAAGGTAGCATATTAGTTTTGGTAAAATTTCCTCTGATTCTGCCTACAGAGGGCAAAAGGCTGTTAGTCCTGCCCTTCTACTGTTCTCAGAAGGTTATTTTTTTTCAGACAGATGATAGGGTAAATTCACAATAATATATGAAGCTGCCAAAGGCAAAACTAAAACTAAGTCTAGGCTAAATTACTGGGTTTCTTTGCTTCCAGAGTTTGTTGCCATTAGTCATCTTGATTGCTCTTTGGCTGTCTGCTTTTGAGAATCACTCTCTGCACAGGCAGTGTAGGCGGCTAACAGGAGTGGTCTGATGGCTGAGGGTGCTGCTGTGGGAAGTGGAGTGGCTGCTGCTGACCTTCCCAGACACTGGTGCTCCCGAGGCTCGTCCAAGGCAGGGCTCCCTTTGGAAAGAGCGAGGAGGGTGGCAGGCTGCTGTCTTCTTGCTGGGTTGTCAGATGGAGGCTGTTTTGCTTTGTGTCCTTGCAGGTGATCCACAGAGCTATGCTGAATGTTCATGAGAATGGCACTGAAGCTGCAGGGGCCACAGTGAAGGAGATTACCTGGAGATCTGGTGATTTTCCTCATCCACGTCGAGTCAGATTCAACAGGCCCTTTCTCCTGGTGATTCTAGATAAATACACCTGCACCATTCTCTTCATAGGGAAAATTGTAAACCCTCTACAAAATGACTGATTGAGTAGAGGACATGCATTTATGCATATTGTTGGCTAAATTCCTGTGATCCAGCAAAACATTTACATGTGCATACCACTATGTACTAGCGCTTATCACTAAGCATTATCCTTATACAGATTATTAATCCCTTAAAACACAAAAACTATTTTTCTTTGTTCAAAAATCACTGATATTTCCCCCAGTGTATGGCTGGGTATAGCTTGTAGTGGATGAAACAGAAGTCACTTTTCACCAGTTGTGTAAGATGCCCTTCCTGACATGTTCCCATGGGGTATTTGAGATGGTTCAAAGTCTCCAGATGATGTAACTATTGCTGTACACTCACAGTGTGTGTATGGGAGAGCAGAGGAAGGGAAAAAGGGACAAGGAGGTGCAAGGTATAAGTCCTGTCTGTTTACTAACCTCTGATGGCTAGTCTTAAACGGATTCCCTTAATATTGGAGTGAATTTCCATTCATTTCTTTGGTTTTCAACCAAGTATGACGTGAAGCTGAAGGATCAGTGACTGGGACACTGGTGGACCCACCAATGTAAATGTTTGTTGAGTGCAGCTACTTTAGCTCGCCTCCCTCTCTCTCCTCCTCAGTGGAAGGCCTCCTCATGAAGACAATGGTTTTTGCTTTACAAATATTGTTTATTTTACTAGGTAAGGAAGCCATACCAGCAAAAAGACTCTATTTTATCTTCCTAATATAGCTATTATTGCCAATGCCCTGAGATAAGTGTATGGTGGAGCAGTCCATGACACAGCATCACTTTCCTTTTAATGGATTTGTTGTCATTGTCATTTCTCTTTTCTCCTACTGATGCTGTCTTCACTACCACACTTCCCAGCTAGACTTGTCAGACTGTGGTAAGAAAGAGGAGGAATGAAAAATTATAACTCCAGAGAGTTCGTATTTCCTCAGTAGGAGCAGCAGATCTTTCCTAGGGACTGTTAACCTGCTTTAAACTGTCATAGACACACATACAAAATGCAGGTAATATTTGAGAAGTCACCTTTCCAAAAGCTAACAGTGAATTACTGTTATAAAGTAAAAACATACTGTGAATTAACATTTGTACCTTTTCATTTGTTTCTTGAGTCTAACTTATTGCTACTGTGTTGTTTTATAGTGACTCAATTGATAAGATCTTAACATACCAGCTACACTAGATAACTGCAGAGTTAGGAAAGGAAAGAAATACAAATCAGTAAATATTTAAATTATTTTATTAATTTTTCTTTATTTTTTTTAAATCAACATACTTAGCATGTCTTCTTAAGATATAGAAAGCCAATGAAAGCATTTAAATTACAGATTGATTAAATCTTTTGCTATAGATTATCTCAAACTGTTAGAAAAAATATAAAAGGCAACTTTTTAGACTTTAGTCTCTTAAAATGTCTGTGAAAAATATAACTTTAAAATTATGGTGAATATTTCTAAAATATAATTATGTTGATTTGCTTGGGAATCCTTCTTTTCTCTGACACTAAATTAATGCTATCAATATTAGTAAATTGTAGCTGTAAGTATACCAATAAGGGATATAAGAACTTTTCCAAGTCTATCTGCCAGCCATGCAACACTTGACATTCATGCTCAAAGCCCTCCTTAAAACCATGTAAATCAATGACAAAAGTTTCTTGTTCATAACTGTATTTAGTCTGTTCAATATTTAGTAAGAAAGAATTGGCTTCATACCTCAAAACATAGAAGGACTTGGTCTTGTTGTAATACAGATAAACTGATTCTACAGAAGATAATTTAAAAGTTCATGGCAAATCTCAGGGCTAATACAGAACATTATGTCGAAGTCCAGCTTTGCAATGCCAAATGACTGTAGATGAATATCAAAAGATTTCATGTTTGTTGTACCTCACGGACCTCAGATCAATAGTCTCTGCTTGTTAGTAGGAAAAAAATGTCTAAATGATATTGTGCCAATCAGATCCCACTTTGAGATGTAACCTTGTTGCTCAGCTCGTTTGAAAGTGGGCAGAGAAAAATTGAGCTGAATTAAGAATTGGATAACCAAAAAACATCATGTTGGTAAGGAATCATCTACAAATGAGAGTAGGAACCATATATATGTCTTGCTTTGGTGTTCTTTCTGTTTTGACAATAATTAGGGACTGCCCCTCACTGGAAATGTGCAGCAGACAGCAAATTTGTGTGGTAAATAATGAGTACAAAAGGATTGCACAACTCCCCCAAAACTGTCACCCTTAAGGTTGTCACAAATCCAGTGCAGTCATGTTTGCTCAGGACAGTGTTTCTTCTTCCAGTCTGGTGGGTTTTTGCTTCTTCTTTCCTGGATTCTTGGTTTGCTTGCTGACTGTGAATTTTGTGACCAAGAAGACTCAGTGCAACAGAGAAAGGACTTTCCTCCCAGCTAGTCAAGGGTCTCCGCTGCTGTGTGCAAGTACTGTGGTGTGCTACTTCAATGCAGTGACATTGCTGGAGGATGGAGCTGGCCTGATGAACCATCTGAGGGACAAAGTGCAAAGGACATCTTCTAACCCAGCCTGCCCCAAAGCTTACACACAAATCTGATGTTGGAGTGCATGCAACAACGCGCGCGCAGGAGCTGCAGCCTCAGGACGGCCTGTGTAGACCCTTAGAGAAACCTGTGATTGTATGGCTGAAAGCAGTCATCTGTAAGGCATGTTTTAGGTCAACAGCCATGGAAGGAGAATTGCCAGCACAGCAGAAGTTTTGGAACAGCACACACTGAGCAGCTCTCTGAAATACGGAGAAATGGAAAACAAGCATTGTGGGAATGGAAGTAAACTGTGTATTTCTTGTCATAACTAGGAAGCAGTTATCTACAGAAGTGAAACAAAGTATGAAAGCATAAATAAGGACCTCAAAAAAACACGATTAATTAATGGTGGAGATAGATTTAACCCTTACCTACAAACTATGTGAAGTTCAAAAGACATTGGAAGAAAACTAGCAGCAATTTTGATCATAAAAGAAGGAACAAGCAAAAAGAAGGAAAGTGTATATGGGTGTGGGGGCAGAGAGGGAAATAATACGTTTGAAGTAAATCAAAGAAAACAGAATATTTGAAACAGCCAGTGGTTAGTGCCCATGTGCAGGTCTGTCATTGACCCCAGTGCTGTGCAGCATCTGCTAGGAAGAAATTAAATGCATAAAACATAAGCAACATCCTTAAAGGTTATGGGCTGAAAACCAAATTTCATATTCTGCTGGAAAGTCTCACTAATGCTCTGTTAAATGTGAGCACAAATGAGAACCCATATTTTAACAATGGTAGAAGGCACAGGCTGCTCAATGAGAAAAATTCCTGACAAAGCTGAGGCACATAGCTCTGATGTCAGTGCATCCTCATCAAAAAGGAGATATCATAGAATCATACCATAATTTAGGCCTTGTGCAAAGTAATCACCTTTTATGTTGTTTTCTGATGTATAACAACTGGTTACATCTTGTTAGCATTGTCTTGATACACAATAGCCTATTACGTTCTCGTACTGTACAATACTGTTCTTTCTGTGTCACTCTTAAAACATAATGACAAAGAAACATCTTAGCACCACCCAACTTCTGGAGGGGATTGACCCCAGGATACTCCAGGGAGATAAGAGTCTCCCCTTAATGACAGCATGCCTTTCCTGGTGCTCGTTATTGACCAGCACACACACATCATTATCTTAATGGGAAAATAGTTATCCCTTCTGAAAAACAGAGTGCCATTCATGTCACAGACCCATTACTTGGGGGTGTCTGATTTTTCAAAATCAGATGTCATGTATTTCATTATGTATTCAGACAGTCTGGCAATTGTCACACAACTAGTAATTAACAGATATTCTTCGGCAATACTATGTGAATTTCTCAGTTCTCAAAGAACTTGGTGATTATTCATTCTCTAAGAACTTGGTGATTATTCAGGGCTCAAAACCTGTCTTCTACTGCCACCAGGAACTTGGCAGCTATGAAGGTGCTGTGGCTGAGATCCACATAGCCAGCGTCCATAACCCGCTAATCACTCTAACACCTAGGCTCAGGAAGCCCTGGTGAGAGAGGTACTCAAGGCTTTGCTCTCCTGCAGCCTTCACAGACCCTTGGTAACTCCAAATACCACATGCGTACCCCTGGTAGATGTCAGATGGAGTTACCAGCAGCTTAATCACCTATGTGAGGTATGGTTGGGACTCCGAAGGGGGGATCTGAAGGCATCAATGGTTTCATTCCTGTAAGGGATCTAGAAAATATTTTCTGGAATGGAGTGCATGTAATTGTACCACTGGCTGCTAAGACACTGCAAAAGCCAGAGCAAAACAAATTAATGCATTTCACACAAATATTTCCAAGCCTTTTCAGTGGAGAGCCATAACGTTAACTCAGTAATTCTGCTATAAATTAGATTCCTGGCTTGTGTTCTGTCATTTGGCCAGGAGAAAAAATATCTGCATGGAAGCATGGAAGGTCTGTGGTTATTTGACTCCTGCAAAGGCTTAGCAAAGAGATGTATTTCTCTTCTTCAAGCATAACATGCTTTGGTCATTTTTATCTTAAATATAGCATGATATATCTTTCCTATTAGAAAAACACACGTGAAGACAGTACAATATTATGATAATTAGATGTTGATGCACACAGGCAAGTCAATCACTAAAAGTACTGTTGCTTTTCACTCCTTTACTTTCTTGTTTGAAACTTCCATCCTGTGCATGCTGAAGTTTACCTGGTTCCAGGCTTTGGCTACAACTTTCTTCCTCTTTCACAGGATGCTTTTCCTGAGGACCAGTTTGATTTCTGAGAACTGCTTTCAGATTATGGCCTGAGGCTGAAGTTACAGAGCTGTCAGAACATATCACTAACTCTTCCTACTTCACGTTTACAGGAATAGGCACATGCTTCAATATCCAGAAATCTAAGTTTGTCATAAACCAGAAACAATTTCAGTCATAAAGCTTTTCAGTCTGGGGAAAAGGGCTGGGAAAGAAGTAGGTTTACACTGTCCATCAGAAATGGATGGCT